AGTTTTAATTTAATATTTCTTGCTCATATTTTTGTAGGCAATAGATCACCAGTAAATTTAATATCGGCAATAGATCACCAGTAAATTTAATATCTGTATCAGTAAATGCTAAAAATTAATACTTGAAAAAAATTAAGTGTGTATATGTTCTTATCATGAATAATTATTACTCTTTTTAGTTGAACTAATATTTATATTTAATTTGAATAAATGCATATTTTTTGAAATAATTACACAACTTTGTTTATATGACGTGAACTTATTTACTCGATTAAGAAATATTTTTATTTTATTATTATTTATATTTTTATTATATTCTAAACCACTTTAATAACTATTTAAAGTATTATTTATTTTTATTTTCTAACTAATTATAAGTTCAACATATGTCCTTATGAATAATTTTACATGTTACCAGTTGATTACAAATAACTATTTTTATCAAACACTCTTTTACAAACCGTTAACACAATTAGGTGATCAAAATAGTAAATGCAATCCACTGATCAAAGCAGCTAATACAATCCGCTAATAGCTAACATTTAACCTCTGATTAGGGCATTTATAAAGCAAACCAGAGTGAAGCCTTTGATAGTTGTAACAACAAATTTTATGGGAAAAACATAAAACTTTTGTACAACTTGAATATATATTGATCAAACGATATGCGAGTACAATCTCTATATGTATCTTCTGATTCTTCTCTTCATGGATTTTTAACTTGAATGTCGTGGATCTTCAAGAACACCTTTGGATCTTCAAGAGAATTATTGAGAGCTTTTTGAATTGAGACTTTGATTTATGAGGTGTTGGATTTTTTTTAGGTATCTTGGGTGTTTGAGGTGTCTTAGGTGTGATTTGTGACTTTGAGGAGAGCCCTATTTATAGGTGTAGGAGAGAGAGTCTTGGAGAAGAAGACATCAAATTGATTGGTCCTTCTTGATTTGATATAATCTCTTTCCTTGATATAAGCTATTTCCTTATCCTATGATTTGACTTGGTGGGCAAGAAATATTTACTTTATTAATTATAGGTCCGAAATTCAAGAGGCCTTAATCGGGTGTGTACATGGTATTTTTAAATATCTTATTTATCTTGGAATTATGTCCATAAATAAATAAAGACACTAATTAATAAAATATTAAAATTTTGATGTCTACAAATGCCCCCTTGAGACTTGTTCACGGACAAAATGTCTTGGTAGTGAATGAGTCTCAAAATTTTATATTTGGTTGAGACATGAAGATAGTTCTTCAACTTGGGTTTGTAGATAGTTTAAACTCGTATTAAGGAGTTTTAAAGTAATTTGACAGATAGTTTATACTCGTATCAAGGAGTTCTTGATTTGGTTTAACAAATAGTTTATACTCGTATCAAAGAGTCTTGATTTGATTTGATATGTAGATAGTTTATACTCGTATCAAGGAGTTCTTCATTTGACTTGATTTGTAGATAGTTTAAACTCGTATCAAGGAGTCTTGATTTCATTTTACAGATAGTTTATACTCGTATCAAGGAGTCTTCAAATTTGTAGACATTTTATGCTCGTGTCAAGGAGCTTTCAAATTTGATATGTAGACCTTTTATTCTCGTGTCAAGGAGATCTTGATATATATAAATTTTATGCTCGTATCAAGGAGCCTTCGAATTTGATATGTAGACTTTTTATTCTCGTGTCAAGGAGATCTTGATATGTAGACATTTTATGCTCGTGTCAAGGAGTCTTCAAGTTTGATATGTGGACCTTTTATTCTCGTGTCATGATGATCTTGATATGTAGACATCTTATGCTCGTGTCGAGGAGCTTTCAAGTTTGATATGTAGACCTTTTATTCTCGTGTCAAGGAGATCTTGATATGTGGACATTTTATGCTCGTGGCAAGGAGCCATATAGATAGTTTAGGCTCATGTCAAGGAGCATTTGAATATGTAGATAGTTTAGGCTCATATCAAAGAACATTTGAATATGTAGATAGTTTAAGCTCGTATCAAGGAGCATTTGAATTTGAGAATTTGGTGGAGCTCTTCACGGAAAAAATTGCCCCCATGGAATTTGAGAAGAATATGGAAGACCACTTTTGTTTCCTCCATGTGATGAACACGATGATTTTTTACGAATTCATGGCTTAGGAAAACATCAACATAAAACTTTTGTACAACTTGAATATATATTGATCAAACGATATGCGAGTACAATCTCTATATGTATCTTCTAATTCTTCTCTTCATGAATTTTTAACTTGAATGTCGTGGATCTTCAAAAACACCTTTGGATCTTCAAGAGAATTATTGAGAGCTCTTTGAATTGAGACTTTGATTTATGAGGTGTTGGATTTTTTTGAGGTATCTTGGGTGTTTGAGGTGTCTTAGGTGTGGTTTGTGACTTTGGGGAGAATCCTATTTATAGGTGTAGGAGAGAGAGTCTTGGAGAAGAAGACATCAAATTGATTGATCCTTCTTGATCTGTCATGATTTGATATAATCTCTTTCCTTATCTTAAAATTTGACTTGGTGGGCAAAAAATATTTACTTTATTAATTAAATATCTTATTTATCTTGAAATTATGTTCATAAATAAATAAAGACACTAATTAATAAAATATTAAAATTTCGATGTCTACAATAGTATTAGATATTAGTTTTTGTCATGGGCGAAACTACATGTTGATCTAGGGGGGTAATTGCCCCCCCTCAATTTTTTTTTTATTATTATACTTAAAAATTTTAATTAGCCCCCTTCTTAAATTATTTTTTGCACCCCCAAATATTTTGCCATGTCTTTTACCCCTTTCAATTAATTTTCTTTCGCCCCTAGTTTTTGTAACAGAGATTGTTTGAAAGATAGTTGAAGTCTTGATCCACAAAATTATACTTTCAATTATTTTCGTTTTATCATTTATTTTTCCATAATTTCGATGCCCCAAGTTGTAGTTGTGCAACTTGAAATTGTAAATTGTTATTGCATGTCTTGAAGTGGGACCAAAACGTTGCAGAAAGCATGGATTGTTGTCCTTAGATAAGTACTTACTAGACCATATTATGAGTCTCCACACTAATAAATCAACACTACACCATATTATACGTCTCCACACTAATAAATCAACACACCTAAGTAGTTAAACGGGTCAAACTATCATACTATATTGAGTGCCATCCGGTTGATTGATGTAAATAAAAAATATTTACTTATACTATTTGTCATATTTATTTTTATATTATTTCTTTAAAACATATTTTTTTTAATAAAAGTATTCATATTTATAGAAAAATTAAGTTTGTCGGCCTAACACAAGACCATCAATCGAAGAGATTAGATTTCATGTTCTAATTCGTATTTACTTCCATGTAATTATTAACATGTGTACAAATATGCATTATCATGTGTACGCGTTATTCATCCAACGAAATTGAACATAAACGATGATTAAGAAATTTCATTCCTATATGAAAATAGGATTAAATTTCTCATTCTAATCTCATATTTCATTTCGTATTTCATCATTTGATGATTCACGTGTATATATACAACATATCATGTACACGTCTACTTTTATGTTCCAACTTGGCCTGTAAACGAGCTGATCTGAGCTAGAGCTTAGGGTGCTCGAGCTCGAGCTCGAGCCCTTAACGAGTCGAGCTGAGCTTAGCTCGTTAATTAAATGAGTTTGAAATCGAGCTCGAGCTCGGTTCGTTTATCACTGATAACGAGTCGAGTTCAAGTCGATCTCAAGCTTTCACGAACATAACTGTAAAAAATTAAATAAAAATTCTCTTTTTGAGTTTTATCGAGCGGAGCTTAATCGAGCTTTAAATGAGATCAAAGAGTCGAGCCATGACAGACTCATTTAATTTAGTATATAACTTACCCAAAAATAGGAGATGATTTAAACTATAAAAGTGAAGTGAGATGAGCAAAAAAAATTGCCTAAAATGGTGGCTTGCTACTCATAACTTTCACAAAAACTTCCAATCTTGGTCCATTGTAAGTAAAACCCTTGAAGCCTATAGCCGGCCACCACCACCAAAAACAAGGAGACCATAAAGGGCAGAGGGAGAGAAATGGGGGAAGAGATAAAATTCTGGTTCTTTGAATTGAAAACAATTCTTAGAAAAAATAAAAAGAGAATGTAACACAATTCTCTCCAATCTATTTAATTCAATTAATTTTTGTTGCTTCCGTGCCTTGCCTTCTTCAACCTCCATAAAAGAGGAACAATAATCTGAGATCTCATTCTGGCACCAATCTTTAAAGATTCACGCCCAAGAAAATTCCAAGACTCGATTTTTATTAGTTTTTATTTTGTTATCAATTTGCTCCTTTTGTTTTCATCCCCTCTGACCCAGGAACAAACTCTGTCACCATCAAATCGTAATGTGTTCTTACAGCTAAGGCTGTTGTTGAAAAGTGACACAAGGACCATGGAAGGTCCACAAACACACTTAATCCAAGTTCAAGGTATGCAAAGGCCAGACCCCTCCATATTCTCCGAACTAGCCTAATAACTGTTGGGTTTCTTGTCTAGATAGAGATAGATAGGGACTAGACATTTTTTTCTTCCTTTTCCTTTTCCATTTTTACCATCTGGGTAAAAGAAAATCCTGTTTTTGCCCATACCCATTTGGTTCCTCTTATTTTATCTGGTGTTTTTTTTTTTTTTTTTTTTTAGCCCTGTTTTGTTTGGTTTCACATATTAATGGTGTCTAGGCCTTGTAGTGCTGGTGGGTATATAGTTCTGAGAATTGGAGTTGTGGGTTTGGAACATAAACAAAAGCTGGAGTTGAGATTGGGTTTGATGAGCTCATTGGCTGCTGGATCCTTTGGATAGATTATAAAACTCTTTTTTCTTTTTGTTAAAGCTATTTTTCTGGGGGAGCATTTTCTTGTTTGTGAAAATTTCATCTATATTTGCGTTTCTACATCATTTTGGACATGTAGCTTGTCTATGAAATAGTACACACCATATTTTGCCACCAAACAAAAAAAAAAGGAAAAAAAAGGTAATATGGTTAAGCCCTGTTGGAGGCCTTCTGTGGAGGGTGATGGAAGTTGGAGAAGAGGAGGTGGAGACCCGAATGGCCGAGTTGACGGGCTTTGGTGGTATAAGGATTTAGGGCATCACACAAATGGTGAATTTTCAATGGCTGTTGTTCAAGCCAATGGGTTGATGGAGGATCAGAGCCAGCTGGAATCGGGCCCGTTGAGTTTTCTTGAGTCGGGCCCTTGTGGAACTTTTGTCGGGGTTTATGATGGCCATGGTGGACCCGAAACTTCTCGCTTTGTGAACGAAACCTTGTTTCAAAATCTCAAGAGTATGTCTTTTCTTATCCGTATTATCGGGTAGTTTTAACTTTTATCTTTATGATGAATCATAGGGTCTTAATGTTGAATTATGAACAAGTTCTGTTTGTTTATGTAATGCTCCCGAGAAAATGTTAAAGCTTATGGTCATATGTTGTTATGTTTCGGTATTGTTTGCGAATATTAGCTGAAAATTAACGAAGACATAGGATTTGGTGGAGAAGCTAGAGTTTTTTTTTTTTT